GCCTCGAATCATACCAAGATGGTAGTGTGTGCCCAGACACACTACCACTGGTATCCAAATAAATACTTGCAAATAGCTCGTATTGTTTGGAACGCTTATCAACGCATTGTATTGATACGCTGTGTTTTGGAACACCGTGAGGTAAGGCCGTCGCCGGCAGGTACTCACGTAAATCAACAACGAAAGTTGTACCTACTCGTATGAATACGGAAAAAAATGTAGAGCTATGGAAAGTGAGCTTATCCTGTTCGCCGAAGGACTTTATGGCGAAAACTGAATATTTCATCAGGACAACGCCCCAACACATGTAGCAAAGTACACTAGTAAAAATGCGCTTTTGCACATACATATAAGTATGTACATAGCTATTTTCTATTGACAAAACTATTGAAATATAATTTCTTATAAATTTAATATTTCTGTAATATATATGTATTTATGTTCTTCGATATATTACTTATAAACATGTAATTTTAAAAAGTATATCATAAATAAAAAAACAATGTTTTGAGAAATAACATTTAAAAAAACACATTGCACATGTACTTATTTTACTAGGTTATATTTCAACGATTGCAAATAACCTTATAAGAACTTAGGAGCGTTGGAGTATGGATTATTTAATCTCTAAACACACGTACCATTAAGATGATGAAATTATCCAAACCGGAAACAAATAATCGTTCTCTGTTTGACTTTATTTAGATATTATGATTCTTGGAAACACTTCACTACCTACCAAATTAAATTTGGACTCGCCGCTTGCAAAAAGAGTTATATTATCCTTTCTGTACTGCATTCTTTTTTTTGATATTTCTGTGGAACCTTTAATAACATACTTTACCATAAGTAAACTGTTTTATTGAGATAGATACGAAAAGGATTTTCGATCGAAAATTTTCATAAGCATGTTTAGCCCTTTTGTTTATTTGGTTTGTATGACCATTTATTTATTTGGTTTTCATAAGTGTGCTTTTACACGGGGACTCAAAAGAGTCTCATTTTTTTCAAACTTTCTTTTGGTGTCGCTCTGTGCATTCACACGGTCAAAAAGAGTCCAGCAACTCGAGTCTAGTTTTTCTGCATTCCTTTTCACAAAATTTTCGTAAATATTTGTGCGGTTCGACTGCGCAACACTTAGAGCGTGTTGCATATTTCATTTGTATGCTAGGATGGTGGTCCCACATTTTGCTTGCAATGAATTACCATGAATATGGTAGAACAATATGCATAATACAAGTACCTACCCGCTAAATAGTTTCAAAGAAATACTAAAGACGGGAATTCCCTAATCCACAAGAATGTATTGAATATCCGCTACTAATATTTTCAAGGCAAAATTTATAATAGGAATTTCCTAATCTTTAAGTATTAAAAACTCATAATTTCTTTACTCCGTATTAAAAATTCATAATTTCCTTACTCCATAATCTATATCTTAATTTTCTCCTTATTTACAATTTGTCATAGTATTTCTATTATTCTATGCATACATATTTGCATATTACATACAAAAATAGATAACAGAACTCAAATTTGCGATCGAATTCATTTGAAACCGAGCGCTCTTGCAACTATTCAAAGGATTTGAAAGTGAAAAGGAATGCTGAAAAGGGTAGCAGCGAGCTGTTACGAACAAGAACACAAAGCGTGCCACCCGAACACGAGTGGCACGGTCCCTTCGTCTTTCCTCGTCGTCCCCTCGCCCACAATAAACTATTATGAGACTCTTTTGAATCCCAATGTGAAACGGCATATTATTGAAAATGCATTATTGCCAACAGGACAATTGTCGGAGCAGGCAGCCAAGGCACAAAATAAGCATTTTCGGTTCTATCGGGAAATTATGCTACGGAGCATTGCAACCTTGATATTTACAATAGACTATTTTTGAGTTCAAATCTACTATTAAACAGGATTAGACAAACAAAATAAAACGTTGAAGTAAGATCATTATGTGTAGAAACAATAAATATGCCACTACCAGCTGATCCAAACGCAGAATCTAATATATCAGAGACAGAAAGTGATGAATAAATAAATAATTTTTTGTTATACTTGCTTTGGCCTATACCTGATGGGTAAGGCGTTAACTATTTGTACTACATTACATATTATTTTGAAATACATATAATAAAAACGTTATAACTACTAATTTAATAAAAAATATGGTAAAATTCTTAATTTTTGTTAAATTGTTTGCGTTTTTGTTCAATAAAACATGCTCATTATTCAAATAACAATACTGAAATGTAATGTAATAATATAGCCAAAAAAAGCAAAGGAAACACCATTCTGCTTATTTTTGATAAGGCCCGCAAAAATGGCGTTATCTTATCATTGTTATCTCATTGCACATATAAAATGCAACCTTAGCTTTATCTAAAGCTTTTACAAGTCCTCTTAAAACCTATTACAATGATGTGAAGACGATTTATGCAAGAACAAGGCCGAAAAGTGACTCAATTTGATGTTATTGAGCTGTTTTCAAAAACCAATCTTAAGGTACAAACACAGATAGCAATAAACGGCTTCAAATACACTGCTATTTATCCATTTAAGAAAAACATATTCCAAGAAAGTGATTTCATGGCTCAAAACCAAGAAAATTAGGTAGAAGATGCGCAATTAAAAGGAGAAAGCAGTTTAGATGCAGCAATCGCCAGTACAATGAAATCAACCATGAAAAATTGTGTCACACCCTGAGATATCTCACTACCACCTAAGTAGAAAAAACTACCAGCTTCAGAGGCAAACGATCAGTACCAATGGTATTAACAATATCGTATTATAAAGCATCTTTGAAAGAAAGCATAAAAAATGTTGAAAAGCGTAAAAAGAGAATCGAGAGAAGAGAGCGAATCAATTCGGATTAAGAATTTTGGGCAGAAGCGCCACCAAGTAAGCACACCACGCGCACTTTTTACAACAAATCCTTTGAAGCAGATGAGGAAGACAGCACGTGGGTACCATGTTTAGAATGCGACTTATTTTGGGCATATAGCAAAATGCCTGTCTTAAAAGTTAAGCAATCAGGGGTGTTGCAGAATCTGATAGTTGTCGGAATCAGAATTGAAACCGATAAGAAAATCTAGTAGGTGTCATGAATTCAGATATTATTGGTTTGACGTTCGAAACAGAAATTGTATCGGTTTTGGGTGTCTCGCAAACCAATTTTATCGGTTTTGTTATCAGAAACAAAGCAAGAGGATTTTTGCTGACAGATTTGAAATGTAAGTTAAGAAAATAATTTATATTATTGTTAAGATTTAATTTATCGTTATTTCTATAGGGGAAAACATAACCATAAAACAAAAAATGTAATAATTATCGAGTTTATGAAAAAAATCAAGATATTTTAAGAGAATTTACAAAACGTAACAAACGTAATATAACACCCAAATGCGTCTTTATTCAGTCGATAATGTGATATAAATCTGTAAAGTAAGCATGTATACAAACATACAAGTAAATGCAAGCCAAATTTCACATGCGACTCCCCTGGTGCATCAAGTGGATTACTGTGATCTTTCCTTTTCCTTTTATTTCTGGTTTTTTTTTTTAAATAAAATAAAAGCTAAAATAGCGGAACTCATTGTTAACTTTAGTAGACTTCATTCAGCATTTCAAATTTATAAACCACTTCCTAATTTATTAATTTGCAAATGTGACATTAGTAAACACTGATTCGAATATTGGTTTTGCATATGTTCGAAAGACGCAAACCCAATCAGATTCTGTGTACACCATTCAAATCAGAATTGGTTTGCAATTCTGACAACTACGCAAAATCTGTCTTGGATTCCACAAAACACCTGAATATTTGTATGCACGTCCTGTCAATTACTATAAATTACAAACTTGTAACCTTTTTGAATCCATGTACTTTCTTTAATCACTAAGATTATTGGGCCTACCCCCTGTTCCCGAAATTTGTTTTGAACTTTTGTGCATATTTTTTAATTTCCGTAACTCACTCATCAACTTATAGATTTCGACAATTACTCTCGACTTTACGTTTTCAATGATTTCGAAATTAGCGCCATCTATTAGCCACGGAACGTATTTTATCGAGTCGGTAAGCGAGTTCAATTTCATCGAAAATTTTGTTTCGATACGGCTCCAATGATTTGAACTATTTTGTTCCGATCGAATCAGCAATATTTTCGATCAAACGGATTCAATATTTAGACCCAAGATGTTTTATCCAATATTTAATAAGAACAGAATTTTAATGATTTAATAACGTTATATTTATTATTTTTTTTGAGTCAACTGATTTCTACCGCCTATTTATTTACTCTTTTAAATCTTGATAACATTTAACACTTGAGCTGTAGGCCTCATAATCCATGTTTGACACAATATAATATTAGCATTTTCGATATATAAAATATAGATGAAGAAATGTATGGTTTTCTGCATAGCTATCGGTTAATTTGCTTAAGTGCAGAAGAACTATGGCCAAAGCGTTATATTATTGTAATCTTCAGAATATTAAATCTCTATTGTTTTATTATAAATGTACTCCAATTGTAATATTCAGCATTAAAACGTTTCTTGAAATCACTTTATGAATAAATATAAATCTAACAATTTTTATTTAAAATAACTAAGCTCAATCAAACAATAATTAACACTAAGGCTAATGGGTTTTCATTCTGGTAAAAAACATGCCATTTGGGCATTACTGAGATGCAAAATAAACACGACGTTTTAGAGGAATAACTGAACAATTACTTATACATTACAGTTTAGCGTACTTATATTTACTTAAACGGTCTAAAATATTACTTTATATTATTTTACCTTGTTACATATTCAATTATTAATAATAATTTGGGTTATAATATACAGGAGACATTTTGATGCAATTTCATTCTGGACAGGATGCAACATACCCAATTAAATAAATAAATCGATAAAAAGGCAGTCAATATTTCAAATCTCAAATGCTTATACATAAGTAAGAAAAAATAGCGGTTAAAATTATATATTCCTTTTTAATGTGTTTAATATTTTTCCAGTTATTCTCATTTTCATCAAAATGCCTTTCAGGAAATTATAGCAAAAGTAGCTGTAGCTGCTTTTTAGTTCTCTCTAGGTTTGGTAAAAATATACGTATGTTTAAACATATGCTATTTATGCTTCGATAAGAGACCTAAAATTTATTATTTATATATAAATAATGTTTTAATATGCAATTATATGTACAAGAGTTTATTTCAAACTTTTTATCCGGCAGAATTAAGACGAGCCTTCTATTGCTTGCTATGTTCGTGAATATATATATATCGAAACATTTTTGGCAATTTTAATGTCTTCCTTATTTACAACAGATTTATTCACTTGAAACAAATGACTATTGCGTAAAACACAACGTGTCGCATGATGCTTTAATGACACCTTTACAACTCCTATTAGTAATTTATTTTATAACCTATTCGCATGATAACTTACCTAATGAAATACATTTACCATTTCTAAACTTTTATAGCGATGTTTTGTTCATTTAAATATTTAAAAATAATTAGATGATAATGGTGGCTTCTCTATTAACAGTTTTTACAAAAACTTTCCACTCTTTGAATCAGTCTCGCAACTCAACCCATTTAGCTAGATTTCTAGCTTCAAGTTCCCTGTTTATGAAAATAATATTCTGAAATGAAAGAAATAATATTTCAATCTTAATAATATTAAACAGGTTAATATGAATAAAACTGTATATTTTATATAATATTATAGTTGGAATCGAGCTCAGATATTCATTTACACGAGCTGACTTTTTTATACTTGGGTTTAATCATTTAATGACTTCTCCTAATTTTAATAGACAATACAATATATAAATTACTTAATTTCTTTTCACAATAATGAACAAAATAACAATATACTTACACCTGGACCTAAGTAAGCATACAAGTAAATTTCCGGTATATTCTGGCTATTGTACCCGCTACCTGTGCTGTAATACTATGCCTCTTGTTAGCTGACACAATACATCTACAGCTTCTGATGACCACATGGAGTCTAGACAAAAAATAGTGCGATACACATTATTTAAAATCATAATATAAATAAAAATGTATATAAACACTCGGCAAACAAAACCCACGCACTTTACAGAGTGGCTATATATAGCGCAAAACTTAGGTTCATGTTATCTTAAGGTAGACAGTTTTTGAAAATCAACCGTTTTATCACTTCATGTTTAAAACATTTTATATAATAAACTTATAGTTTAACACTTGTTTTAGTGAAAATGCAAGCATACACATATAACAAGCCACAGAACTAAAATTTGTTATGAATAATAACATAAACAAGTTAGTTAAACAACATATATTACGTTTTTATGTTCTGTATGTCACAATGAAATACATAAAAAGCAAAAACAAAAATCTTAGTATTTTGTGAAGCACCCCTCCTTCTTCCTTCTCTTTCCACACAACTTCAATTATTTTTTAATTTTTAGACTTTTTGGACACTTTCTCTTATCCTTTGCCCATTGCAAGGAGTTCTCGATTGATTGAGATCTAGACTGTTACCTGGGCACGTGAAAGATTTAATTCCATAAAAATATTTTGATTTGTAAGTGTTTGTAATGAATTATTTAAAATCTATTTCAATGTTTTATGCTTTAGCTACCGTTTTGGCTCTATGGCAAGGGTATGAATCATTCTGAAAATAAACTTTTTAGTGTGTTCGAACAGCTGTTCAATAGTTGGCAAAACGGATTCTTTCAAAATTCAATACACTTTTCGGCATTCACAGATTCTTTAAGTATAATAACCTGCCCAACACCACACTTGGTAATAGCCCCTATATCATTAAATAAGGCGAATGCTTTACGGTGGGTAAAACACAGTTTTTCACTTTTACGATTTAAAGAATTAAAATTCGTATAATTTTTAATAACATTGCGCACACTCCAATCATTATGTACTGTTAGCGTCAAAAGAAAGTGTTACCATTTTCTCATACATTTCAGTCTTTATCTCAGTATAAAAATATGTAAAAATTTCAAATAAATTATCGTTTATGAATGATTAAATATTGTTCTTACAAAAATTAACAGCAATCCAAAAAAATCCATAAATACAAAAACAATACGAACAAAATCAAATATTCTCAGTATTTCACGCGTCAAAACAAATGTACAGTTACGGTAATAGGCCTCGCATACTTATTTTACGCAAAAAATATATCGTTATCCATAGTTCTTTCTTTGTAATTGCTTCATTCTAATATTATTTAGTATCCTTGTGTAGATAGAATTTTATTTGCGTTTAGAAATTTGCCAAGAGGACATCAATTTGACAATGGGTAAGCAAACTTCATTGAATGTAAGAAAATTAGTGATCTATTTTAGGAAAGACGGAAAATTTTTCCGCGAAATTGCTTCGATAATTGGAAGAAGCCATAACACAGTGAAAAATTATTGATAAGCAAAAAAAATTTGGAGAATTAGAAGATCCGACACGTTCGGGTAGGCCAAAGCGGCTCAGTGATACAGAAATGCGATCAGTTGTGAGAGCTAAAGATAGATCCAACTGTCAGTGCCGTAAAATTGTCTGAGGAAATGTCCAGAATATCCGGACTGAACGTAAATGCCAGCACGATCAGGCAAGCGTTGCATGCCAATGGTCTCTATGGCCGGGTACCGAGGAAAAACCCACACATCTCTACACAGAACAAAAGCGACGATTGCAATTTCCGAAAAATATAAAAATAAGGACAAATCGTTCTGGAATAACGTAATTTTTTTGACGAAAGCACGTTCGAAGGTTTCAGGAAGAAAAAAATACTAAAATTTGGAGAAACAAAATCAAGAGTTTGAACAGAAAATATTATATCCACTGTATAGCATGGTGGGGGTTCGGTGATGGTTTGGGGTGTATGGCGGCAAGTGGAGTGTTGAAGGCTGGTGCTGATTGATAGCACAATGAACTAAATAAATTATCTAAACATTTTAAAAGAAAATTTGCTCCCCAGTATTGAAAAATTGGGCTTAGATCAATCCTGGATCTTCCAACAGGATAACGATCCTAAGCATACGGCAAGAATAATAAAGGAATGGTTGCTTTACCGTACACCAAAACAGCTGGATAGTCCCCCACAATCACCGGACCTAAACCCCATTGAGCATCTGTGGGAACATTTGGACCGGAAAGTAAGAAAAAGGAGCATAACCAGTAAAAATTCTCTGAAGGACATTTTACAAGAGGAGTGGTCCAAAATTTCCCCGGAAGTAGTGTCCAACTAAGTGGAATCAATGCCAAGGAGGTTGGAAACAGTTATTCATGCAAAGGGAAGACAAACAAAGTATTAGCTTTTGAATTTTGAAAATTTTCTTAAACTGTACACTTTGTTTTGACGCGTGAAATATTGAATATATTTGGTTTTGTATGTGTTGTTTTGTACTTGTGGATTTTATTTTGGATTGCTGTTAAGTTTTTGTAAGAACAATATTCAATAATTTATAAATGATAATTGATTTGAAAAAAATTTAATATTTTTATATTGAAATAAAGAGTGAAATGTATGAGAAAAAGGTGTACACTTTCTTTTGACGCTGACAGTATATTTTACGGACTGTTTATCGCTTGGATAATTTATTTTTATATAAAGTATTGATTTCTACTTTCTTTTCTATTGACAACAGCATGTTCAACTTTGCTTATTTTGACAACTGACCCACAAGAAAATACCGCAAGTACTTAAATAAACACGTGCATAAACTAAAAATTTCTGAAATAACGGTAAACTAATGTAGTCACATAACAAAAAAGTCAAACAAAACATATATCATATTTTGAGCGAATAGTGACAGTTTAAAAATGGAATGTTAGAAAACTTTCGACTGCGTGGGTTTTTTTCTTTGAGTGTATACTTTTTAACTTATTTACATACCGATCGGCTCCACGTTAGACAAAACACATTCAGTGGCTTGGAATGGTACAGTCATAAAGTCTGATCTTATTTGCCTTAATTCATTGAAATGTACATTCATATAGCCTCCAAAGTCCAAAAATTTAACTACACAACGCTGCTTATCCTCAACGTCTTGTTCGACTATTTGAACTCTATACCAAATTCCTTTAACTGGAAGTACACAAACAGCATTGATTTCGATACCAGGCAACAATGGTGCTTCACTCGAAGTGTAGCTGTCATATAAACACTTTTGAAGAACTGTTAGAGAAGGGTGTGAGGGATGTAAAGGATGTTGTACGAACATGTGTGCGCCATTCACTACAGCAGTGACAATTACATCGTTATTAATGTTTTCGATGAGATTAAGCTGTAGGAAAAATAGGAGAAATAGTCAATTTGGTGATAATACAAGTATATAAAAATACAAAACATATTGCATAATTACACATTTACCTGTAAATTAAGTAAACTGTCGGCAGATAAAGGAACTACAGTTTGGGGAGATGCAGATTGTATTTTATTCATAGTAAAATTAGGAAAACGTTTTGTAGGTAGGCGTTGTCTTATCATTGCCAAAGCAGCTTCTATTTCACTCTCAGACCCCTCAATAATGCAAATGCAAACCAATTTTCCGGCATAATTTGTCTTGCGTATTAGTACATTCGCTGAAGTTTTTACTTTGATATGGTTTATAAAAAAATGTTTTCTGCCATACAAGTGTCCTATAAAACTATTTGGCAAAAAGAATTCGTATGTGGATTTGGCACGATTTGCTTCGGATCGGGGTAAACTTGAACCTTTTCCTGAATCGCCAGATTGGACGCTACATAAACTCAATGATGGACTGGCAGCATCTACATTACGTTTTCCATTTTCCGTAATATCAACATCTTGACAAGGGATGTTCATTACGGTCTCTTTGTTAAAATTTTGCTCAAGAATTGGACTCTGTTCAATTGGTTTGTGTGTGGTATTGCAGGACGATTGAGTTGGATGTCCTTGTTGATTTCCTGTGTCACTTTTAATTTTTACATTTTCTATAAGATCTAAATTATTATTTTCTTCACATCCTTTGGTATACTTATTTTCAAGAAAAGAATTTTCAGGTGAGATTTTTGGTGTGCGAGTAGCTCTTATTATAACAGGTGCATCCCTTTTACAATTCACATTTCGCGAATAAAAGGCGATACGATTATCCACCGAATCTGGCAAATCAACTGGTGATGATAAGTTTTCAAAGTCTTCATCGATGGAGCGAAGTACTTTATTTTCAGCGCTTTGTATTTTGTTTTTAAGAACCTCAGAATCGACCTGTTGTTGTTTAACAGGCGAACCTCTACAATTCTGAACAATTTTGATTGGAGCTGATTTACCAAAAAGTCTACCGGTTGGACTCTCTTCACCTTCATTTTTATAATTTATATTTACTGAATCACTTGGTAAGGGGTTTGACTTGTTTTGCATAAAATTTCCATTTATTTGGTGCTTTGTAGATTCTTTTGATTTATGTGTATTTAAGTTTTCTTGCTCTTTTTCAGTTGTGTCTCCATTTGAACGACTTTTATTGCGAAGTCGATACCAATAAACACCGAGGATAAATACTACTCCAGGCAATGACAAATATAATAGGGGACGACCAGATACCATTTTCGTTGAATATTGAAAACTATTAAAAGAAAAAAAAGTCATTAAAAATGGGGTGATATTAAATTTTTAATTCAAAAATTTATATGCATGTGTTTTATGCTAATGGAAAATGACACGTTGTTATATCCTAGCTATGAAGTTTTGCTTAAAAAATTAACAATTAAATTTAAAAAGAAATAAACGGAAAAAAGTATATAGTTATAATCATAACATATTTAATGATTTTCATTTATAAAGACTAGAAAACAAAAATTAAACTTTGTAATTTTTTCACTTTTTTATAATAGTATTAACAATTTGAAAATGATACAATATTGCCAAGCTTAAATGGTTAATAAATGATTTTCCAAACTACTTAATAAAATCAAAAAAGAATTTCATAAAACATATAATCAAACTTTGACTGTAATTAAAATAATAGACTTAAGCAGCAAAAGACCCTGGCGAATTTATCACTATCATATCAACTTGTTATAATATATATACATAAACTTTAAAATCCCTATTTCGGTTTGTGTTTGTAAAAACAATAATTAATAACATTGAAACATTCATAAATTAAATAGTTTAGTTACGCCGTGAATTAACTGGATATAAGGTAGTAAAAATCTTTACTTACCTCTATAAGTTTTCAAAAATATTAAAAAGAATTTTATACTATCGATTTACTACTATTATTTAGTAACTAATTTTAAATCTCTATTTTTCAAAATTATTATTTCGTATTGTCGATATTTAATTCGTAAACATATTAGTCTTCTGCAAATTTTGCAAAAACACTCACAGCTACTAGTACAATCAACAATGACGATATTTTTGAAAATTTTATTGCCATGATTTATATAAAATCCCGCGTCTTTTATAAATGTAATTACTTCTCTTTAACATCTTAGAATAATATGTTCTAATACACTTAAATACCAATACGATTCCACTTTTTTATACAATTGTTTTCTTTACCAAAAAAAATTTAGTTCCTACTCAGAGAAACGTATTTTTAGATTATGCCTTCAATGAGATGCCAACGAAAACATATTACCATATGTACTCAGTAAATATTAAAAGTTGTATGTATGTAAATGTGCATATGTAACACTTCGAATCTTATGAATGTTAACAAAAGTTATTATCAAATATTATAAATATAACTTTATTTTTTATTGAGATATATACATTGACTTTCAAAATGCAAATTGGACATACGATTGAATGATATCAATGCATCACATTATATTTTAATAATTTCAAAAACTGCATTTTTTGATACATTTCCAATTAAAATGTTTGTGTGCAAGTAAACCAGAACCCTACAAAAATCAAACACTAAATGAAATACATAAAAACTTAGCAATGTTATCTATTAGAATAGTTTCTTGGCAACACTCTTCTCTTGTTCGCATAAGCTTATTCTCGTCTACAAAGAACAACCACATATTGCACAACCTAAATATAATTAAAGAAATTAGGAAGTAATATATCCCTTACCTTTAAAAAAAAAAATTATATCCCCGTTTTTTAACGGATAGTATAGGGATAGAAAGATAATCGAGTTTCAAAAATATTCTATAATATATGTAGTAAATAAAAAGATAATAATGAATTAACAAGCGCAAAAAATCGGAATAGACCATACATTAATTTATGTAATAAGGCTACCAAATTCTTATACAATAATATACATATAAGAGTTATCGAAGACATCATATACAACATATACTTGTACATATGTGATAAAGAAGCGTATGTCATTTTTACTCTCACATATAATAATTTATTTCGGAAAATTAAATATTTCATTGATTTTATAGATTTCAAAAGATTATACATTTTCGTATATAGTATGATTTTGTAATGGGCAATTATACTTATATAGATGCGGAACAATAGTTAACTATAGATTAAAAGATATCTTAAATTATTATCCAATTTTGATTTATTTTAATATATCACAAAATTGTGGATTTATATGCTTCTGTCGAACATTCGTGTTGTCGTATAGTAACACTTCGAAGAAATGTCATGCCACGACCCGTAATTCAATTTGGAGATTTTGAGATACCCAGCGTAAATTTATCCAGGAAGTAATATTTGCTAATTTTTTATATAAAGGTAAATGTACCAATGACCAAAAAAAACTCTTTATAATGCCACATGGCGGAGCGACAAAAACATTACCTAGATAGGAACTAGGCAATAAAAAGAACTCTATATCATTCGCCATTAAATGACTTTTTACAACAAACTTTCGTATTGCGGTAAATGCTATAATTTCTTATTAATAATTAAGATTAAAATTGAACAATTAGCAATATCTAAACCGCTCAATTTAGTTCTTAGATTGTACGATGTGCGCGCAGCTCAAGAGGAGAGATGTATTGCTACTTGATAATAGTCAGTTTTGAGTAATTTAATTCAATGGCCACAAACTAAAAATATCCATATAATTATACAACGACGAAAGAACCGATTCATTCGTAACATAAAAAAAAAATAGAAGACATTCTCTTGATGCAAAGAGATAAAATGTTTGATTGTTTTACTAATTTCATTCAAGAAATAAACAGATATACAGATTTAAAACTTTAATTAATGTTTTTCTCCGGGTAAATTTCTATCAATGCTCACATGAAGTATTTCGTCACCCCGACCTCTGTTTACAACCTTAAGATATACTTTTTAACGCCTGCTTATTGTAATTGTTCTTCTTTCCAGACCAAGTAGTATTGATTATATTGCACAAGATTTTTTGACTTTCTAATATTTACAAATTTTTTGTAAATAGTATTGATTACAAAAAGATATATGTTTACAGAATGGTTGTGTTCGGATTCACCAAGAATACTAGGTTATGTTATATTCTGCTCTCGACACTCTTACCTTATTAAACACAATACAAAACAAATATATATATAGCTTTCAAAGCTTTTATAATGCTTTAAATAAACCACTTTTGATATATATTTTATCCTTTGTATAATTTTCTTTAATCTTTATTAAAAAAATTGCGAATTTAAACACGTGTCGAGCGTATTTTCTTTCATACACACAATAACAATATGGCCGGCGTACAAAATTTCCAATACATATTTCGAAAAATGCTGCCACCTCGCCCAATTGGAAATTAAGTAATAGTTTCATATCTCAAAGAAAATGCTTTGTTATAACACTAATATATATATGTATTATTTTGTTTGTATCAATAAAAAAATTAAATATTATATTTGTTAAATGATATAAACGTAAAAAATATACAATATTAAAGGATTTAATAAAATGATTGGATGACAGGGTTCAGCTTAAAACCCTGATTGAAAAAATCAACTTTCCGCTCACGGATTTGTAACCTTCGCGTCAAAAAAGAAGATGATTTAAAAATAAAAATATTAATTTTCGAGGCCTCCTTCGTTAGGGGCCTAAACTATACATTTATCAAATGTAATTTTACAATACTAATCAATCACGAAAAACAATGGGTTATGACAGTCCATACAAAAGTTCAAACACATATTGAATATACATATCCTCCATTATAATTGTTTAAAACATATTTTATTGAAAACAACCCTGAAAACGAACTATCGGTTTAATCAAATCGGGAGTTTCGGTAGACGTGACTAACTGGGATATTTGCTATTCTCTAACCCGAACGTTGCACGATCAAGAAATTGCTTTTATGTTGCAATACACTCACACTTTTCTACTACCCCACTCTCACTTTTCGAACTTGAAAGCCGTCTTGATATCAATTTTCTCATTCCAGTCACAAATCGAATTGAATAGAATTTAATTGAGGCTTGTACCGCGACTTTAGGTCTATTGTGCCCTCTCCTCGATCAGATATTTTGACAATAGTTTAACACTTTGATTAATCATAGAAACTTGCTGGGCGCTGTTGAGGTGATATGACCCATATCCACTTATATGAATCCAAAGGTATTGATATAAAGACGGCTTTCAAGTTCGAAAAGTGAGAACGTGGTATTAAAATAGTGTGAGTGTAGCAATTTCATGATTGTGTAGTTGAACAATAATAATGAATATTTCGTTATACTCATGGATTGATATCAAAATATAAGTATATCAATCCATTATATTATAAATTGCATGCAAAATTTTCAAGAATTTTAAGTGGTTTCCATGACAACGGCATCTTGAAACTATTATTGATTATCAAGTTGTTTGCAGCTACTGTCAATTTAAATGATTTTGACAAGTACATCAACTTGAAAGCAAGTGCTTGATCTTGTAACTGCATAATAAAACTTTTGTTGACTGGTTGCCAGTCCTGTTGTTCGAGTTCTAGGTTCCATATATTCAAAGTGTTTTTGGAATTACGCAGCATCTCCACAGGCAATGTACATTGTCTTTGAAGTTGGCAATGTTTTTGTGAGCATTTGGTGCACTGGCATTTCATAGTTGCTGGCATCATGTGACCGAAATTGTATATGTATGAACATGCTGCCTCTTCAAATTGTGTGTGCGAGTGAAAAGCTCTGTCAAACCACCACAATGACAATTTATTGTTAGAAATGTATACAATGTGTATCTATTGTAATAAGTTCCATTCAGCAAAGATTTTCGAGTTTTCTGTAATTTTTCCATAAAGTATTATTGAAAAGTGGACTGATTTGCTATATAGTTCTATATAATTTTATATAATTTAATCAATTTTTTTCTTGACTGTTTAATGAAATTTACTAACTGCAACGCTTCAAGTGTTATTACAAAAATAATTTATGCTGGCAATGCTTTAATGAAAATGGGAAACTTCAGAAAGTGGTTGTCGGCACAACGTTCTTTCCGCCTTTTGACAACTGCTAAGGTAGGTTGTTGTTGAAATATCTAATGAAAATCAGAAAATATTACTTGCATCACAAAATCGAATTCTCTAGTAATTCAGGAGACATTTGATGCAATATTTTCTTATTACATTACGAATTGTTTGGTAAATTATGTTCCCTATATCGATTGTTTTCAGCAATAATGGCTGTACGATACGAACTTTGCGTTGGTCTCAACAAGGGACATAAAACATCTAAGGTAAAGAATGTTAAATATACTGGAGACAAAAAGGTTAAAGGTCTTCGAGGATCCCGTTTGAAGAACGTAAGTAATTAAAATAAATATTCTTACATACGTATTAATAGCAAATGCCTTCAGATTCAAACACGGCATACTAAATTCATGCGCGACTTGGTTCGTGAAGTTGTTGGACATGCTCCCTATGAGAAGAGAACCATGGAATTATTGAAAGTTTCAAAGGATAAACGTGCTCTGAAATTCTTGAAACGTCGCTTAGGCACACACATCCGTGCAAAGAGGAAGCGTGAGGAGTTGTCTAATATCCTCACTCAAATGAGAAAGGCGCAAACTCACGCAAAGTAATAGATGGAAAATGTTTATTAGAAAACTTAGAAATAAAATAAGAACAAGTGTTCTATAAAAGAATTGTGAAAACTGTTGTGATTCTTATCATATACATAAACAATACCTGCCAAGTGCTAATTTACGGCAAAGCTTTGATTATTTAGCTACCTAACGTTAATGCTTTTGAAAACTTTTTGAAGACTTCTTTCTCTTCGTGAATAAGGGCATAAGGTGTTACGTGGATCTTTTTTTACTAAAATGGCTTGTGTGGTTATTTGAAACCACGGTAAAAGTGAAACTTTTTTTTTCACATTGTAGACATTAAAAAAAAAAATTCGCTTCATGAATCATAATTTTATACGTGGAAAATGGGAATGATAATCGGAAATGATAAAAATAGACTAGGGCAATATTTTTATTGAACTCTGTATCTTAGAGTACGACATACATAATAATTTACAATTAGACGATATACACATATTAAAAAGTTTCACTTTAAAAACTGAAAACAATATTTTATAATCGTTGAGTCATTTTGATCCGTTTTTAATTTTTTTTTGGTAAATGAGTTTAGGTCCCCCAACTAAGCAGTCCTCAAAAATGAAATTTTTTTTAAATCGTCTTATTTTTACTCGTAGATTACAAATCCGTGAGCGGAAAGTGAATTTTTTCAATAATTTATGTATATTTTTCAAAATTTATTCAACACACTTTGTACATATCACAAATTCAAGTCACTTAGCTGTAATTACCAGTTCAGCGTGTTAAACATTTTCTTATGAGAAAAATATACTGAAGAAATGTAACAGTCACAATTTCTTTTGCGCCGCGATCTGATGTTATGGACGAATATCGGAGATCGTCGAACTCCTTTCCGCACTGGGAGCCTTCGGCCGCGCTTCAAAAAATAACCCTGGTCGGTTCAAAACCGGGGTGTTCATAATTCAATCGCGTCAAACTCCTTTCTGCACAAGACGATTAAAAAAATTTCATTTTTGAGGCCTCCTGTGTGGGGGGACCTAAACTATACATTTACCATTTTTTCAGTCATTCTGTTATCAATTCCATCTTCATCATGAGTTTCACAGTTTATAAATATAACCAATATTTTATGGTAACAAAAACTAAATATAGCAAAATTGAGTATTTTAACTGTTTAATGAGAAAATGCTAATTGCAATGTTAAGAAATGTACGCTTACAGTTTATTTACAATGCGCAAACGACTCTGCATATAATTTATACATATTCTAGTTATATATGTTTGGTATCGCAGGACATAAGTATATAGCACATATACATATCATATATTTATTTGCTTTGGTCATTAAAATTTTTGATAACATCTGAAAAGACCAAGCGGTCGCACATATGTTCATATATATATAAATATATGTATACAATTTTGTGTGCATCTAAACAAATATGGAAGAACGCATACTGTTTGTATATCTGTCTACCTGCAACATATGTATGTACGTAAATATTATATGTACACTAATTGCTTCATGCGAAATCTCACGTTTTTTGCTTTCATGTCAAAGAATCAATGTGTCGAAGGACTGACCCGACGACAAAGCATCACAAAATTGTGTTGTTGGTAGAAAATCCGAGCTGTGTCACCGCTTCCCTTTCCGCTCTAACAGCTTTGCCAATAAACCATCGTAGGTAGATAGGTAGGTAGAGTGGCTGTCTAACGACGCACCTAGGCCTATAGGAGGCCCATTGTGATACCACCGGGACTAATGTTCCCCCACTCCATCGACTCCTCACTGAACCAACCTGTGCTCTTGATAAAGCTCATTAGTACAAATAATTTTATATTAGCAACTTCTGATACGTCGTCAAGGAACCCACGACCGATAGTTGCGATTCTTTTCCTGAAAACGCCCAGATAGTTCATGGCCTGAACCAGAAACCACCCTGCGAGAGGACGATCCTCGTAGCGTTGGACTTGTCAAAAGCTTTTGACACAGTCAATCACGCAACGCTACTTGAGGACCTGGAACAATCAACGCTCCCTCCAGGGCTGAAGCGGTGGACCATGAACTACCTGTGCGGTCGGCACTCATCCGTACTATTTCGAGGTCAAAACTCCAAACTCAGGAAAATTAAACAGGGGGTTCCGCAGGGCGATGTCCTCTCCCCGCTACTGTTTAATTTCTATATTTCAAAACTCCCCCAGCCACCAGCGGGAATTTCAATGACCTCGTACGCAGATGACTGTACGATATTGACCTCGGGCAATGGAATCGATTGCATGTGTTCAAAAGTAAACGGCTACCTTTCCGATCTTTCTCGCTTCTTTTCTGCAAGGAACCTAACACTCTCCCCCACTAAATCCACAGCGACCATCTTCACCAATTGGACGAAGGAGTACAGACTGGACCTGAACATTTCAGTCGATGGCACAAAAATTCCGACAGTAAATAACCCTAAAATTTTAGGCGTCACTTTGGACAGTCTGTGCTCTTTCACTCCTCATACGACCGCGATAACTGCCAAAGTACAGAGCCGCAACAAAATCCTCAAGTCGCTTGCCGGCAGCTCATGGGGAAAAGACAAAGAAACGTTGTTGGCAACATACAAGGCAATCGGCCGGCCGGTCCTCAAGTATGCAGCCGCAATATGGTATATATTATATATAATATGGAGCCGCCTCCTAGGAACATCAAGAGGTCCTTCCTTGACTACGTCGACGACATTAGACAGTACGCCGACCAGACTTCGGACGCAACTAACTTCAGACAGGCACTGACCGCCATTCACAGTGGAGCCATTAACACCTTCACCGACTCCCTCTCAGTGAATGGCGTAATACGAGTCAAACCACCACCCATTGCAGACACAGAGCTCGAGTTGCCTCGCGAATCTAGAGTGACCCTCGCGCAACTTCGTTCTGGATACTGTAGCAGGTTAAACTCCTACCTATCCAGAATAGACCCTGACATACCAAACACATGTCCTGCATGCAATGAGTCTCCGCATGACACTAACCACCTCTTTGCATGCCCAACAAACCCCACTCATCTAACACCCCTCTCCCTATGGTCCGACCCCGTCGAAACAGCTCGTTTCCTGGGCCTTCCGTTAGATGACGACAAAGAATCTATAATTTATTACCCAAACGGGAATTAGATAATCGTTACAACAACAACATTCTTTTCCTGTATAGAGCTTTATATTCGCATAAAAGATGCGACAGGTCTGTTGGCAATAAATGTAGAATGACGTTAAGTGCCTGGCTTGGCGTTGTTTTAAGAGCTCCATTAATGCATATACTGGCTGCTCTCTGTATGCTTTCCATACGCTTTACCGCGTATTTCTGTTCCATTATTGGCCACCATACCATATGTCATGATTGGTCTGACAACTGCTGTATAGAGCCAATAAGTTACCCGAGGCGTAAGCCCCCATTTGGGGCCCACCATCCTTTTACAGGTGTAGAGTGTTGTGGCTGCCTTCTTCACCTTAGCATCCAAGTTTTGTTTCCATGAAAGCTTCCTGTCTAAGATTAGTCCTAGGTACCTTGTTTATCTCCAATAGTTAGTCTGCAACCATTTAATAATTTCGCCTTAACTACTGGAGTGTTATGCTTTCTGGTGAATAATACCAGCATTTAAGTTTAATCCGCACGATACAGTCCAACGGTTTATATCGTCCAAGATCGTTTGCATAAGGTTTGCGAGAGTATTCGGGAATTTACCTCTAATAGATACTGGCACATCGTCAGCGTAGGATCCAGAGAAGTGGGGATAACACGCCTCCTTGAGGTGTACCCCTTTGGACAGATCTGCACATCGTTGACGCTCCCAGCTTTGAAATTATTGACCTGCTCGTAAGCTTCTGTTCAATTAATTTTCTAAGAGGTTCAGAGATGTCCAGATTCTTAAGCGCACTCAGTATGGCCCTAGGCTGGATGTTATTGAAGGCTCCTTCTATATCTAAGAAGGCAATTGGAGTGTATTCTTTAATTTCCAGAGCGAAGGAATATAGCCAATTCATTATGTAATTCTGCTTCCAATGTAATTGAGCCGGGAATTGACCGTCTGGTCTCGGTGACTTTAAGGGCCTGGAAGCTATTTATTGCCCAGTGTACGTGGATTTCTGACACTGTGTTTGTAAGAGTGGAGTCTATTTTTGCTCCACTGTGTTGAGTATATTCAATCGTATGGCTCTCAGAACTACCTGGGAAGTGGGTATCCATTAGTAATCCCAGCGACTCTTCACTGGATACCATCCAACTGCCGTCTGGCTTCTGAAGATAACCGATACTATGCACCGATTGTGCCATTATTTTCCTAAGTCAAGACGCTTTCGCTATGTTCTCGATATCATTACAAAAAGATTTCCAAGAATTTCTTTTTGCTCTCCTAACTTCCTTTTTGTATGACCTAAGGAGGTCGTAATAATAATCCCAGTCTGACTCGCCTTGGGATTGCTTGGCTAAATTGAACAGCTTTCTGCATTCTTTCTGTAACTTTTTTAGTTCGGGAGACCACCAAGGTGGCCTAATTCTACCCCTACTTCGTGTTACTGGACAAGCCACTTCTAATGCTTGCCGACAATATTCAGTGAATCGAACAACGAGGATGTCGAGATCCTCCTTGCTATTGGGCTGAAACGGCGATCGTAGGGATACGTTTTTCTAGCTCTTGCATGTGCACCTGCCAGTTCGTTTTCCCATGATTCCTGATTCTTTTGTTTGTCCACGCCACGTCAAATGCCTTGACGAACTTCCACCCCTTCGTGGGCAGACTCCGGTTGCAGGCTCTTATGAGCTGATCCGGCTGTGATAGTGTAGCCGGGATCCATACCCTTGCTCTTGGTATGGATGGTATGTCTGTTTTGTTTACTGCTACCAGTTTTGCGCCGGGGTATACCTCCCCTACCTTGGCTATTGCAGCTTCGTATAGTGCGACCGATCTCTCGTCAACGCATGCAATCATTTTAATCTGGTACCAGCCGGCATCCATTTCCATTGGCCTCTGGGGATTTTTCCTTCGGGGTCCCCCTCATCCGGAACGCCAATGACAATTCGGTTCCAGGCGACTTCTGCAATTGATTTGCAGGCGTCATGTCCTTTGTTTTCGGTCGTTTTGCTGACGGCTTAGCCTCTTCAGCTGACCTCTGTCGCTTTGCTGCCTTTACTGGAGGTTCCAGCTTAAAATTGGGTATGACTCCCTCGCGCAGTCAATCGATGCTTGGAGCTCCTTGGTTAGCTCCTCTTTGGTTGGCGGTTACACCTCCACTAACCTCAATAGGTATGCGGCGCGTCGTCTCTCCGCATACCTTGCCTTTGCCGGGTCCTGAGTGCTAAATGCAGGCCACTCTCTGGCAGATGCACTTCCAGCAGAAGTCCCTTTGGCATCTTGCCCCTCTCCCTGCTTCTCAGCCGTGTTTTGGCTGCAGGGTTTGGGCCTGGCTGCCTCCAGCGCTACTACATTTTTGGGGTCAGCTTTAGCTTTTGCGTCTTTACTTGTGCTTGCCTTATCATTTGAACCCGGCTTCGCTCCTGTTCTCTTGATGTTTGTTCCCGAGCCCGCTCCAAACGCTGTTCTTTTTTGGGAGCAACTAGCTCCCTCCGTCTTTTTTTGTGGAGATCCGGACTGTCTCCGATTTTGGTTTTTTTTTCGGTTTGTTTTTCTTGTAATTTGGTTCATAAATGATCCCACACATAGTAAATTTAATGAATTTTTATAAACAATTAAAAAAATTACACACTTTACATATGTTCTTTCGCGTAGTAACTCTTTTCTGCACTGGCGCTTCAAAAAAATAACCCTAGTCGATTCAAAACGGGGTGTTCATAAGGATGAATGAAGTGTGTGTTTTACCACAGTTTGACATAAGCGGACCCGAAAACTGCAGTATTAAACTTTTCCTAGAGAATGTTAAAGGATACCAATAAAACGGTGGTTAAAGTGGCTTATGTTAGAGACATATGGTTTCCGTAAATATGTGTACTACAATAAAACCTCAGTAACCACGTACCAGTGTGTCACATATCGTTTTCTATGAGAGTTTCACACTCATTAGCTGATGCAAAAAAACATACATAAGTCAGTGGGGAGGAAAAGGAGACATTTTACTCTATCTCTATGGGCATTAAAAAGGACCAAGCAATATAAAGGATGGGTTTCAAGAAATGAGCTTTGAAACATTCCTTCCATTTTTGTTTTTTTTTTAATTTTTTCGGGGATTTTGTGTTCTAATTTTTTTGTTTGGCAAAATCAGAGTAGGTATGGAAAACACGATTTCGATTCTACTCAAGAATCGATTTTTAGGAGTCGACCCTTTCCTTCCGAAATCGATCAAGAATCGATTCTTGCCATTCGATTTTACCGTCAGTTTTATATTGTAACGGATTTATCGATAAATCGTCTACCTTGTAACTCACTCTTAAGTTCGATCAC